AAGAATAGTTCACCATTGCCACGTGTCATTTTATGAGCCATTTAGCCACGTGTCCTTTTCTTAGCCTATGTGACACGTGTCATTAACTTCAATTTTACCTAATTAACAACCTCTACTCCATACAAGGTAATCACATTTAAATTTTTAATATCATCAACTGTAAATAAGGAAAATTCATAACCTACCATCATTTAAATAAGGTATTTCAAAAATAAAAACGTTATCCAGCTAATAACCCCACACAGCCTGTAATATGTTCATTAAAGTTTCCTTTATTTACGGTTTTCCTATTCTGCCCCCACATGTATTTGAATCCCTGAAAATCATGGCCTTATCTTAATATTACTTTAAATCAAACATACCAAAATTATAAATATACAACTTTCAAATAGAAATCCATAACATTAAATAACAATATATAAAATTTTGTTGTTTTTTAGAGTCGAAATATTGTAGAAAAATCCCTAAAATTAAGCCCATTCCATATTTATTCCCATTATATCAGTTTTCATTGTTATGTCAACATAAATTGTTTACATATATTCAACTTACACAACGATACTCGGATTTTACTTTTGCATCGTCCTGCATCCTCTGAGTTCCTTCATTAGTTCGTCATTCACAACAGATATTACATCAGGTTAGCTTTTCCATACTATATTGCCCCTAATTGATTTGATTCTTTTGTTCTTTTTTTCTTATGCATAAATCAGATTGTCTTTGTAAGTATCGATGAATCAATCAGTTCGACTTTCACAACATTCATCGATACTTACAAAGATGTATACATTTAGCATTGAAGTTTATAAAACATCGATTTTTAACTATTTTTCCAAGAAACAAAAATGTAGTTTTTAGTTATACCAACAAGTTTTATAACATCCCTTCTTATTTTGTTTCAAAAAAAATACATAACTAACAATGAATAACAACATACTTTATACTAATTGTTTCTTTCAATTCTTTTATCTTGTATATAATTATATTTTCTATTTTTTCTTTATGTATGTATGTAATCTGCCATTACAATTCCACTTTTGTCCCAATTTTACCAGTTATAACTTTGTATCACAAATCAATTAAAACAGGGGCAAATTGGTCATTTGATAAATATTTCAAAATAAGCTTTAGTGTGTATGTAACATCTGAGTCACCAGGTATTCCCCTTCTATTAATGTAAAGTGTAGTATAGTGTAATTTGTGAGAAGGGTCGTACGTTGGGCGTACATAGTGTACGCACGACGTACACGACCGCGGCGCGAAGCGGGGGGAGCCTTGCATACGTTGGGTGTAACCTGTCCAGTTGCAAACCCTAAATTTTAGGGTTTGCACCATATATAAAGACATTAACTCCATCCCAAACCTCATTCCTTCAGCCTCCAATGTCCCTAAAGAGTAGAAATCGAACCCTAAACCTCTTGCATGCTTTGTGAGCTAATTTGGTGCACTTTTGGGTGATTTTTGGTGATTTTGAAGAAGAAGAAGTTAGAAGAAGGAGCAAGAACATGGGAGGAGCTTGTAGATCCAGGGGTTTAGCATCTTTTCTGACTCATTTGAGGTATCAAGCTTCAAACTTGACCATTGCATGCTTATTTGTAGTTTTGGGGTGTTTTATGTGACATTCTGACAATGGGGCGAAGGACCACATTGTGGCTAGGAGATGGATTGCAGACATCGAGTCTGCACAGTTGACGAGCTTCTGCCCTGAGGGGTCGAAGGTCCGGTATGTTGCGGGATGTTTGAGAGACAGAGCTAGAGACTGGTGGGAGGCAGTCAGTGATTCGTTGGGAGCCCCAGCCATTGAGGCTATGACCTGGTCGGACTTTGTGACCAGGTTTTGGGCTGAGTTTGCGCCGGCTGTGGAACTTCAGCAGCTGGCCAGGGAGTTTCTGGATATGAGGCAGACTACTGAGTCGGTGGCGGAGATTATCGCCACGTTCAGGGAAAGGGCTTTACGGTGCCTCAGTACGCGGGGGATGAGGAGATGTGGAAGACCCGGTACCACGACATGTTGAAGGCTGACATCCGGAAACATGTCAGTTACTCGGCATGCCCGACTTTGGATTTTCCGCATATGAGATTCTTGGGATTTATACTCTGACATTATTTTCCTATGATATGTTTTTGAGATAGTTGATTTATGGGTTTTCATGATATGAGATAACATTGTTGGCATTTTCAGTAATCTGTTTTATGAACCTTTAAAGTAAAAATGAAATTTTTGGTCTTGGATTTTGGGATGTTACACAAGTAACTGAGAGAGAAAAAATAGAAGAGGTGTGAAGAAAATGGAAGAACCTTGCATCTATTTATAGGGTGGAGCTTCGGATTACGTTGGGCGTAACCTCGGAGTACGTTGCGTGTACGAGGCTCTAAGCTGTGCGTACGAGGGCCAGGTTTTGGCATCGCATGCGAAGCCGTGAAGAGAAAGCGAGGGTTCGGATCTTAGCCACGTGTCAGCCTCGCATTCTTCTATAATTTAATAAACTTCTAAATTTCGTAACTTTCGCATACGAGCTCTGTTTTTGATGTTATTTATATTCACGCATAGGTAGCCATGTGATCTACAACTTTTGTTTAGACTCCGTCGGCTAATTTTAACTTTATTTTTAAAGTTATATTTTAACAGGTTTAGACAGATAAAGTCCGTTAAAAGATCATAACTTTGTCATCCGACGTCCGTTTTTGTCTGTCTTTATATCGTTGAGTTCCTATTAATGAGATCTTCAATTCTCATTTAGGTCGTGTTGGCTAGAAATCGATCGATCTAAAATTCGATTTCCGAGTTGTGTACTGTTATGCTAAATCTTAGAAAAATCATAACTTCCTCATGTGAAGTCATATTTGGACGTTATTTTTATGTATGTTCTCGGTTTAACATATACTACAACTTTCGTTTAGATCCCTAAGGCTAAAGAGTAATTTATCAAAAAATCACTTTTTAGATTACGCGGTGCCGTGCCGGTTTAGCCGTAAAACTTCGACGGGTCATAACTTCTTCATTATAACTCGGATTTCAGCGTTCTTTATATGTACGGAACTCTTGTGACATATACTATAACTTGGTTAAGATTATTTATTCTAAATAATCTTCTATCAAAAAGTCATTTTTTGACGCTTATTGTTTCTAAATTGACTAGCTCGAATCTGCGGGCGTTATAGAGACCCACTCTCCCTTTTCTTTTCATTATAGCAATGGAAGGTCTCAGGTGGCTATCCGCGCGACATGCGATAAGGGTGTTTTTCAAGGAATTCAAATACCAAATGGATGTCCGTTGATTTCACATTTACTATACACAGATGACATACTATTCATAGGCGAGGGGTCGCAACAAAATGTTAAAAACCTTGCTAGTGTCTTGAGATGTTTCCATGTGTCTTCGGGTCTTAAGGTCAATTTCAACAAATCAAAGATTTTTGGAATTGGAGCAGAATTGCGTGAAGTTTCCAACCGGGCAAGACCGCTTGGTTGTGAGCTCTCATCTCTACCTTTTACATACCTAGGAGTACCGGTGGGGGCTAATATGAAGCTTAAAAAACATTGGAGGTCTGTCATTAAAAGATTTCAAGCTAAATTATCAGCATGGAAGTCAAAATCACTCTCTTTTAAGGGCAGACTTACGCTTATTAAATCTGTTCTTAGGAATCTTCCAACGTATTTCATGTCATTATTTGTCGCACTAGAGAGAGTTATAAATACTCTAGAAAAATTGAGACGTAGGTTCCTATGGGGTGGCTCGGAAGACAAATCGAATATCCATTGGGTGTCATGGGACAAAGTGATTGCAGAAAAAGGAATTAGGAGGTTTGGGGGTAAGTTCTATTAAATCCCTTAATATTTCCTTGATAGTAAAGTGGTGGTGGAGGCCTAGAACAAATCAGGGATCAATATGGGCAAAAACAATCATGGGCATACACAATCTATGGAATAAACCGGATGATTGCTATTCCAAGAAGTCAATGACAAGTGTATGGAATAACATAGCAGGTGTTGAACGGGAGTTCAGAAAAAAAAAGGGGATTCAAATGTCCAGTGTGATAAAAAAACAACAGATTCCTAATGGAGAGAAGTGGGTGTGTGGTATAACTTCGGATGACAGATACAAGGTGAAGGCACTCAGAACTATGCTGACAAAACATAACATGGTGGATAATGGTAAAGTTCCTTTGGATCAAGCAAGTGCCAATTAAAGTCAATTGCTTTAATTGGAGGGCTACAATTGGTAAAATTCCATGAACTGTGAAACTTTCCAACCGAGGAACATCTGTGGTTTGTACATACTGTTGTCAATGTGAATCATATGCAAAAACAAGTGACCACGTGCTTGTACAATGCCAGTTTGCAAAAACAGTTACACAGTGGATATCTAAGTGGTGCAATACTCAAATGGCAAGCTTCCAAACAGTGCAAGAGGTATTGGAGTATGCTTCAAACTAGGGCAATTGCCCGACAAAGAAGACGTTATTGTGTATTTGTTACTGTGTTTCGGAGTATATGGAAAAAAAGGAACAATCGATTATTCAACAACAAAATACCGACAACGAAGGTGGCAGATATAAAAGCAACCATGTTTTTATGGTTCAAACATAAGAATGGTAATGGAGGTTTAAAATAGACATATTGGAGTGTAAGTCCTTTAATAAGTTTGTAATTGTTTCCTAAGTATCTACATGTACTCCTTTGCTAACTAGCATCTTGTGCTGTAATTAATATATTTATTTGCTGGTTCAAAAAAATAATAATACATGTGGAATTTAAATAATTTAAAAATCTCACATAATAACATTTAGCTAAAGTCAAAAGTTTTAAGAAAAACATGTGTTAAAATTATTTTCATTTATTAGGGTAGATTTTGATTAAAATTATTTTCATTTATTAGGATAGATTTTGATTATTTAAAGTATTTATATATGGTCGTGCATATAATTGTTACAAGTGGCATTCATACTTTTATAAATAACTTGTTAAAATCCAAAAAAAATAAAGGCACTTGATGTAAAATATTGTTAATAGATTTGTTTAAAAACAAACACACATTTGTTATCAGTCCAAAATATACCACATAATAATAATAATCAACTTTCATCCAACAAACTGACTTCTCCACATATCCATCCATCTATACTTTCTTCCTAATAATAAACCTTCAACCCCTTCCTTTATCTTCTGACAGGAGACCGACTGTATAAAACAAAAAACATCAGACAATTAAATAAATATTCATCATCCACATTATCCAATATAAAATAAACATTATTATACCTGCGATACCTCCCATACCCGGGGCTTTGTGGGGCCCGATCCCGATCATACGAGGGTCCATTGTATCTATCATACACCGGACTACGTCCACCCCCACCACCCCGCCCATAATCTGGACTACCTCTCCTCCTGTAAGTGTAAGGGCTAGGCCACCTCCTATTGCTACTGTAAGGACTCTCCCCTCTCTCACCATCATCCCTCAATGCATACTCCACTGACACCACCCTATCAACAATCTTACTGCAAAATATTTATCCAACATTTTTATTTTTATTTTTTATTTTTTATTTTTTTTAAAAAAAAGTAATTAATTAATCAACCAGAGGCAGACCTCATGTGTGTGCATTCAAGGGCTTTGGTGGCCTCCTCTTGCGTCTCAAACTGGACAAAAGCAAAATTTCGTCTGATGCGAACATGAAGGACTTTCCCATAAGGCTCAAAGTGCTTCTCAATGTCACGAACACGTGTCCGAATCGGGTCAAAGTTTATTACAAACAAAGTCTTTGTTGGTCTCTGGTTTGCCATTGACTTTGAACCATCACGGTGACGACCGCGTTCCCCCTGTAAAAGATTTGTTGTAAATTAAGAGGTTCATAAGGGCAAAATTGGAAATTCACATGAATATGAACATACCCTAGCCCACTCTACTGAGAGCCTGCGCTTGTCGTATCCAAACGGGCTGTTGTCAAGAGCTTGAATCGCGTCTTCAGCATCACGTTCGTCTTCATAGTAAACAAAAGCAAATCCTGTAAAATTTTGAAAAAAGAAAAGTTAGGAAAAAAAAGCATAATAGAATATAAGAAATGTGTTGAGTGAAGACCACAATACACATCATCTATAAATGAGGGTTTCTTTTCTTTTCTTTTATTTTGTTTTGTTTTGTTTTCCCTCACATAAACTAGATAGAGGTATGAGACCTGCAAAGACCGATGTGAAGATCTGATAGGATGTACAAGTCTTGCAAGATGAACTAATTCATGACGATGATGATGATTTGATTGATGTGATGGCATGGCATGGCATAACAAAAAGATTATATCCAAGTCTCATGGAAATCTCAAGGCACAATGAACTCACAGACCCCAACATGAAAATTCTTGTGATATGGCAGATGAGTGAGTGAGTGAAATGTAGAAGGAATCCAGGATGAATATAAGGATGAGGTAGTAGTAGTAGTAGATATGTTTCCATGTTTCCCTTAAGGTTTTTTTATTGCAAAGGGAGAAGCTCATTTTCCCTTGGTTGTTGTTCCTGCGTCAAAACAAACACTTAAATACCAAGGCCTGTTCCATTGTAATTCAAATTTCCATGGCCTTGTTAATAATGCCCATCAGCAAAGCTACAAAACTAGCTTTATTGCAATTCTAGTCAATCATCAAGTATACTCAAAATCCATCTATTTTACTTCACCAAGCAATAAGGATAAACATCTATCCTAGATAACAAAAACGGAGCAAAATCAACAAGAAAATATGTTTGATCGATAACCAGTTCCTAAACCTAAGAGCCCTGTACCTAAAGGCATTGCCCCCTAGCATAAATTAAGACCATAACATCATCTACATCAGGATATTTTGACATAAAACCTAAATCGTTTTCCTTTCTTAAACTGATTCGTCATCCCATTTACAGGAAACACTCCTAAATCAGATTAATATCAAATGAAGGAAGAATATACCAGATTTCATATCAACGCGATCGACCCTTCCATATTTCCCGAACAGCCTCTCCAAATCAGATTGACGAGTCTCGTACTCGAAATTCCCACAGAAAATCGGCCTCATCTTCAAAAGGATTTTCAAGTTAACAAAATAATTTGACAACGAGAGCAAACCCTAAAACAGTAAAAGTGAATGGGGGAAGAATTAGGGTTGAGAGTTGAGACGGTGATATTAATACACGACACGAAGAAATAATTTTACTTTTGCTATATGCTACGTGTTATACTGATATAGGCTATGGACCATCCATCTATTGGGCTTTGGCCCACACAATGTCTGCAATTATTTTTGTCATAAATTTATTTATTTTAACTAGATATTGTTTCTTTCCGCCTACTTATTTTCGTTTACTTGAACCGGAAAACTCTCCTTATTTTGTTTTGTTTTGTTTCCAACCAATGAATTGGAAATATCCCTCACTATTTTTTTTAAAAAAAATAAAATTAATTAATTTTTATGATTTATAATTTTTAAATTAATAACAACCAAAAATTTTAATTAAAAAGAAAATGTATTTTATTAATTAAAATAAAAATTACAATAAACCTAAGATTTAAAAAAGTAGAAAATTAAAAAAAAAAAAAGAAAAAAAAATCAAACAAACCAACAACAACCCATGGAAAAGATTTTTTCAAAATTTTTTCCTTTTTCTTCATCACGAGCTCGAGAACCGGTCCCGAGAGATGGTCGGTGTTTTCCATCAAGAACTTCATATCCTCCATTTTTTGTCTCTCCGAGCGTTCCTTCTTCTTTTTCTTTGTCGAACGTCAAACGTTCAGAGAAATTAATATTATATCGATCAAACGACACTGTTATTTTCCGCATTTCGTCAACGTCCATGCCGAAATCCAATGCACCTGAAGAAGTCCCTTTTCCCTTCCTCTTTGCTTTGTCCCTACCCATCGGTCGGACAATTTCTTCTAGCTCAAGTTCGTCTTCCTGATTTAAATCTAGACTGACCCGAGCATCGGAGGAAGTTGTGTAACCACTAGAACTCGTTTTTGTTCGCTTTGATTGTTGTACTCCAAAAATAAAATTTTGCTCGTATTTTTTCCACCTAGGACATCTAACCAATAATTTCCAACAACCGTGCCACTTGAATGGTTTTCTAACTTCCTCAAGGTAAAATTGCAAAGCTTCTTGAAGTATTTCTTCGTCGCCTTGGCCGCTTTTTTGTTGGGTTTTTAGGTTGTTGTACAACCCGTTTATTTTTGAAACCCCTTTGCTATTTCTCGAAACTTCGAATTCAGTTGGTGTTTTGTACGGTAGTCGTCATCTTTTTCTAGCTCCTCCCGAAACCGTTTTAAAATACGAAACCAAAAATGATCTCCCGGTTGTGCATTTCCCGTTTTCGAATCCTCAGAAATGTCAACCCAAGCTTTTACCAAAACTAGCTCTTCTTGTTGAAGCCATGTTGTCGGCTTTTGTCTTCCCGGTTGTGCGACACCCTTGCACTCTTGTTGTTTTCCTGTGCGTCGTTGTGAGGGTGGTGTGGGTTTAGTTTCGGGAACCATCTCTTCTTTCTCCGAGTCATCCATGTAACACCTCGTTTATTAAGTAAGTAAATAAATAAATTAATGAATGTATAGTAGCCCTAAAATAAATAATTATATAGCAAGGTGTTGGTCTCGAGTAGCTAATTGTCACAATTTTAGAGATTGGGGGTTAAAAGTGTAAAATTCGGACTTAATTTGTAAGTATTATTGAACGCAAGGACTAAATGGTAACTTCTGGGACTTCATTTGAAGAGATTTTGGAGGCTAAGGGGTTGTTTGGTAATTTAGGGATCGAATTTGAGAGGAATTATGGAAGCAGGGGTGTAAATGGCAAATATTGTACCTAAATTGTAATGGGTTTTAATGCTGAGGGCTGAAAGGGTAATTTATGGGTTAGTTTCGAAAATATTTATAAAGAGCGGGACTAAACTTGTTAAATCGAATGAAAGTTTGGTATAACATGGGATACACCTGTGTCCCTTCCCATCGTCTAAGCCCTAACCCTAATACTCAACATATTCACCAGCCGTCATGTGAGACTCCAGCCGCCAACCTCGTGTTCAGTCGTCGCTACGTCGATGTGACGTCCGCCGCTCGCTACCGTGCTGTTGAAGCGTCGCCGCCACCACCCGCTGCCAGCAACGCCGCAAACCACTGAGAGATGCATCGAAGACCGCGGGAGGTGTTGTGTTCGTCGTGTGAGGGTCGGGAGCCACCGAAAACGCATATTAAGTCCACCTGCAACTCATCTTTTCTCGTTCTCTCGTTCTTTTCTGTAGATACGACGTCGGAGACGTCGTTACACTCTTGGGCCGTTGTTCTCATCTTTTCCGGCGATGCCTGCCACCAAGGCGGTGGCTGTATAAGTGTATGTTCGAGTGTACATGTTGGTTACTGTATTCGTGGGGTCATAGGTGCGATTTTTGGCCGGAAAACCTACCGCCACCACCATGAGGTGGTGGCTGCCACTGTTTGCTGCCGTTTTCTACCGCCCATTGCCGCCACCAGCCACCGTGGGAGGTGGTTGTATGTGTGTATATTATGTGGGTGTTTTAATGATGAATGTTATATAAGTTTTTCTTAGTCAAAAGTGAAGAAGATCACCGCCACCACCAGGAGGTAGTGGCTGCCGCCGTGAGCCGTCATTGACCGCCACTACCCAAGGTGGTAGTGGGTGGTCCCCGACCCAGTGGAACCCTAATGGACCTAAAAGCTTAATTTTGGACTTGGTTGGCTTGTGATTGGGTTAGAAACCCTAATTAGGGTTTAGAAAACCCTAATTTTAGAAAATGTTGGTTTGGACCTATCGGGACTCGCGTTTGGACCAGTGGATAGATGTATGGCTTATTGCCAATTACACTATATGATTTACCTAGCAGATTGAGGGACTTAATGGATTAAGTCCTTAATGGGTTAAGTAAGAAACACTTAACCCTAATCGCCATTTCATGTGAAAACCCTAATTGTTTTGGGTTTTGAGTTGGACCCTTTCTGTTGGGCCTAGATGTTTGGACTATTGATGCGCCATCCAAGAACAAGTATAAGGACTAGAGTATTGAATTGGGCCTTAGGATAAGGCCCATTGGAAAGGCTTGGGCCCAATTTGGAAAATTTGACCATAGATGGGCCATAACTGGGCCTTGATGATTATGAGATAGTGGACCGTTGGATTGCCAAGTGTTGGACCAGAATATATGGTTGGGCCTTAGGGTAAGACCAGGTAGAGGATTGGGCCCAATTTTCCTGGGCCTTGGTTGATTATTTGACTTTTGGGACTTCAGAGTATGAGTTTGGGCCTTAATATTGGACCAAGATAGGTTAGGGGTAAAAAGGTCCTTTTACCCCAAGTGGGGATTTTAGAGTTATGCATAGGAAGCCCAAATGGTTAATTGGGTTTTGTTTTGATGTTGACAGCTTGGGGATATGTCAGCCAACAGCCCGAGATTTATTCGCGGGACTTCATCAGTGCGAGGTGAGTTTCCTTTTAGTAGGAACGGGTCGAAGGCACCAAGGTCGGCCCGTATATGTGATATGTTAGTAGCTGAGTGTGGGACGGGCCAGAATCTCATAGTAGACGAGTGTTGGCGGGGCCCGAATCTCGTAGTATTATTTGATTATGGATATGTGAATACTTGATATTATTATATATACTTGTTGTCTGCGTGATACTTGTATGCATGTTAGTAGCTGAGTGTGGGTGGGGCCCGAATCTCATAGTAGTCGTTTGTGGGCGGGGCCCGAATCTCGTAATGTTATTTGAGTATAGTTATGTGCATGTTTGATAGAGTTAGAGATACTTGTTGTCTGTGTGATACTTGTATGCATGATAGTAGCTGAGTGTGGGCGGGGCCCAAATATCAAAGTAGCCGAGTGTGGGCGGGGCCCGAATCTTGTTGACAACAGAGTGTGGGCGGGGCCCGAATCTCCTAGACAGCGGTGTGTGGTCGGGGCCCGAATCTCCATGAGAGTGGGCGTGGCTCGTATCTCCTAGTTGCATGTTATGTGTATGGTATGTGTTAGTTTGGGGAGACTCACTGAGCTTCGTGTTTACAGTTTTTCAGTTTTGGTTTCAGGTACTTCGGTGTTCAAAAAAGGAGCTCGGGATGATTGCAATGCACACACCATTTGTTATAGCCTGGGATGTTTTTACTCTGATATAATTGACAGATGTTTCTGATATTTTGAGATACACTGTTTATGACTTTCATATGATGTTTGATGACTATGGATTTATTAATAATTTAAAACGAAATTTATAGACTGTAATTTTGGGATGTTTCAAGTTGGTATCAGAGCCTTGATTTGAGGGATTCGGGCACACTTTCAGGTGTGTCTGAACTCAAACTAAGGAATTGGTATAGAAATTTTCAAAAGAAAACCATGTTTATAAAAGGATTTTGAGAAAAGAAAAGAGTTTTAGAAAAAGCAAAAGAATTTTGAAAAAAGAGAAAAGGGTGTGGTGAATGCGATCAGCCGAGCTCAAGCAAGTACTCCTAAATTACCCATACAAGTTATGTTATGATATGCTTATGAGAACCGCATGCTAGATTAGGACTAAGGATCTAGGAAGGATGCCTTATGTGCTTGCTATATGTGTATCAGCTTTATGAACTGCATGCTAGTACAACCGTTCTAGGGTAGGATCTCTCATTCGAAGAATTATCTAGTTGGAGTGATATGTAATGGTATTCGCGAGCTTGTTAGGGGGAGATAACAGGGACTTCTTATGCAGCTGATGGCGGAGAGTGGATTAGTCATTACCCTAGGGCAAGCCTAAGATGAGATTAATAGAGAGCAGTAGTAGTAGAAGAGACTTGGTGGAGTCAAGGCAGTTCTTGAGGAAAGTACGGATAGATGTGGAAGGCAGTATGGGCATGTACTACTGAAAGCAGAGGATCCGTACTTGAATCAAGGAAGGTTGAGACGAACACAGGGAACTTGTAGTGTGTGAGATCCATCGAGTCATGATGAGTATTCTAATGATTGTTATGGTATATATACGAGTATGGTGATGCTACGTGGTAGACCAGATGGCTGTTCTGGTGCCAACGAGGGATCAGGCTCGGACTCTGGAGTCGGGCAGCTCAATGATTAGATGAGGGAGTTCATTCCATTTGAGATTACGCACAGTATCACTTACCAGACTCCTGTGATCTTCGGTATGATCAAGGAGGGCATTCTAGAGAT